TCCCATTCCTACTTTTAATTTTTACAAATATCTATTTTCAATGTACTTGGTGATCATATAGTTAACCCTACACTCAGTAAAAGCGTTCAACAAATTGTGTGAAACAATAACCACTCTTCTGCAACAGAAGAGACAAAGACTGTAAACGATCACTGAACCTCAAAATGTCCATTTTACCCCAATACATTATATTTCAGGTACGGTGTTAGTTACCTTGGGTCAGAGAAAATATGATATCTGTCTTTTTGGGACTGGCTTATTTCACTAAGTATAATGTTTTCCAGTTCCATCCATCTTGTTGCAAAAGACAGGATTTCCTTTTTTTAACAGCTGAGTAGTACTCCATAGTGTATATATTCTATAATTTCTTTATCCAGTCAACAGTTGATGGACACATAGCTTGTTTCCGTATCTTAGCTATTAAGAATAGTGATGCAATGAACATGAGGGTATAGATAACTCCTTCAGGTGCTGGTTTCTTTTGGTTTGGGTAAATTCCCAGGAGTGGGATGGCTGGATCATATGGTAGGTCTATATTCAGATGTCTGAGGTATCTCTCTTGTTTTCCACAATGGCTGCACCAATTTACATGCCCACTGACAGTGGATTAGGGAACCCTTTCCACCACATCCTTGCCAGCATTTGTTGTTTGTTGATTTCTGTAAGAGAGCCATTCTAACTGGAGTGAGGTGAAACCTCATTGTGGTTTTGATTTGCATTTCCCTGATGGCTAGTGATTCTGAACATTTTTTCATGTGTCTGCTGGCCATTTGGATTTCGTCTTTTGAAAAATGCCTATTCAAGTCCTTTCCCCATTTCTTTCTTAATAGGATTGTATTTTTTGTTGTTGTTGGATGTTAAGCTCTTTTTAGATTCTGCATGTTAACCCTTTATCAGTGGCATAGGTTGTAAATACTTTTTCATCTGCCGATTGCCTCTCCATTTTGCTGCGTGTTTCTTTTGTGGTGCAGTAGCTTTTCAGCTTGATGTAACCCCATTTGTCCATCTTAGCTTTGATTGCCTGTGTTTCTGAAGTCTATTCAAAAAAGTCTCTGCCTATGCCAAAGTCTTGTAGAGTTTCCCTAATATTATCTAGTAATTTGATGGTATTGGGTCATAGATATAGGTCTTTGATCCATTTTGAGTGGATTTTTTTTGTAACTTGTATGGTATGGGTCTAGTTTTATACTTCTGCAAGTGGAGATCCAGTTTCCCCAGAACCATTTGTTGAAGAGTCTGAGCTTGCTCCAGGGATTGATTTTAGCTCCTTTGTCAAAGATACATAGTTTGTAGATGCGTGGATTGATTTCTAGGGTTTCTGTTTTGTTCCATTGGTCTACATGTCTGTTTTTGTGCCAGTACCAGGCTGTTTTAAAGATTTATTGGAAAGACAAAGTTATGAGAGATGTAGAGACTGAGCGAGAGGTTTCCATCTGCTGGTTCACTCCCTAGATGGCCACAGTAGCTGCAGTTGTGCTGATCTGAAGCCAGGAGCCAGGAGCTTCTTCCAGGTCTCCCACATGGGTGCAGGGGCCCAACAAGTTGGGCCATCTTCTACTGATTTCCCAGGCCATAGCAGAGAGCTAGATTGGAAGAGGAGCAGCCAGGACTAGAACCAGCGCCCATGTAGTATGTCAGCGCTTCAGGCTAGGGCTTTAACCTGCTGTGGCACAGCTCCAGCCCAATACCAGGGTGTTTTGATTATAAATCCCCTGTGTTAATTCTTGAAATCTGGTATTGCAATGTCTTGTGCTTTGTTTTTGTTGTATAGGTTTGCTTTAGCTATTTGGGGTATCTTGTGTTTCCATATAACTTTTTTTTTTTATAACTAAATTTTTTTTTATTTTTTTTTAATCTTTTATTTAATGAATATAAATTTCCAAAGTACGACTCATGTGTTACAATGGCTTCCCCACCCATACCGTCCCTCCCACCCACAACCCTCCCCTTTCCCACTCCCTCTCCCCTTCCATTCACATCAAGATTCATTTTCGATTATCTTAATATACAGAAGATCAGCTTAGTATACCTTAAGTAAGTATTTCAACAGTTTGCTCCCACACAGAAACATAAAGTGAAAAATAATAGATGATTTTTTTTAAATGATGATGAAATCAGATCAGACCTATTGACATGTTTAATCCCAGTGAGAGTCAAGTTGGGAATTGATAATTTCTTTTTTTTTTTTTTTTTTTACAGAAGATCAGTTTAGTGTACATTAAGTAAAGATTTCAATCGTTTGCACCCCCATAGAAACACAAAGTGAAATATACTGTTTGAGTACTCGTTATAGCATTAAGCCTCAGTGTACAGCACGTTAAGGACAGAGATCCTACATGAGGAGTAAGTGCACAGTGACTCCTGTTGTTGACTTTACAAATTGACACTCCTGTTTATGGCATCAGTAATCTCCCCATGCACCAGTTATGAGTTTCCAAGGCTATGGAAGCCCCTTGAGTTCTCCGACTCTTATCTTGTTTAGACAAGGTCATAGTCAAAGTGGAGGTTCTCTCCTCCCTTCAGAGAAAGGCACCTCCCTCTTTGAAGACCTGTTCTTTCCACTGGGATCTCACTCACAGAGTTGAAACTGTTAAGCTGAATAAAAACTTAAGCTACAAATTGATAATTTTGCTATTTAACAAGGAAATTATAAATGTTTACAAATGGCTTAAAGATTTGCACATGCAGTATGCATTTATAACAAACTTCTAATTGCACAAAACCCATGCCAGCTCAAAGTTTAGGTGTACACATTTACCCAGTTGAGCATTTTTAGAATTACTGCATAAATCGACTAGGTCTTCCTCTCTTTTTTTTTTTTCTTTTTCTCCCCTTCTTGCTTACCCTCACTCCCATCCTCTCCCCCACTCTCCCCCCCAAAAAAAATCCTCATGAAAAGATTGCATGGACTGAGCCGGCGCCGCGGCTCAATAGGCTAATCCTCTGCCTTGCGGCGCCAGCACACCGGGTTCTAGTCCTGGTCGCGGTGCCGGATTCTGTCCTGGTTGCCCCTCTTTCAGGCCAGCCCTCTGCTATGGCCCGGGAGTGCAGTGGAGGATGGCCCAAGTTCTTGGGCCCTGCACCTGCATGGGAGACCAGGAGAAGCACCTGGCTCCTGGTTTTGGATCAGCACGATGCGCCAGCCGCAGCGCACCGGCCAGGGCGGCCATTGGAGGGTGAACCAACGGCAAAAGGAAGACCGTTGCCTATCTCTCTCTCTCTCTCTCTCTCTCACTGTCCACTCTGCCTGTCAAAAATTAAAAAAGAAAAGAAAAGAAAAGACAAGAAAAGAAAAGATTGCATGGACTGAAAAATATCCCTAAACTGAATGGACTAGGCTGCCTTGATTGATATGGGGAAGGGATTTAGTGGACTATGTGTATTGCGGCAGCAGATGCAGCGGCCCAGCATGTGGTTGTGATGTCCAACACACAGGGCAGAAGCATTTTTCACAGTGTTTGTTTTCCTGTCTTGCACTTACAAATAAGATCTATGTGAATAGTATGGGAAATGTTTGCTGTTTTTCCCTTTTTTAAAAAATTGCTTTTGTTTAAAATTTGATCACCTTGACTACTGTAAACATAGCCTATTTTTGTGCTTAAGATACTGAATGGAAAACTCCATTGTGTGTTGCTGGACTGTTTTGAAAATATTTGGTCAAATGTGTATTAATTTGGCTGTAATGGAATTTAAAGCAAGCAAAGAAACAAACAAACAAAACCCTGTGAAAATGGCCTTAGAACATTATCCTTAGTTACTTGAAGAGTTTCTAGTTTTTTAAAATACATTTTATGTCAAAAATAATTTTTATTAATTTAGAGAAGACAATCAATGTCTGTGAGAAAACAGACTTTTCTTTTGGATTTTCTTTTTGTGGTCATTGTGAGTGATTGCTTTTTCCTTTTCTTACTTTCACATTCTTCCTTTGTTCTAAAACTTAGGCAGACATCTAGCTTTGACAATCATAATATGTTTTATTTTTCTGAGGGAGGAATAACTTTTAATGCTGTTTAGTTTCCTACTGTTGTTGTGTTGGTGAATTTTTAAACTGTGTGCCAAATGCAATCAATTATATGAACTGAGAAAAAATGCACTTATCCTAAAAATAAAACACTGCAAGTAGAAATTGTGTAAAATATTTCATGAATTTAACACAACTTGAAATGACAGTCTGTTAACCTTAACCTTCAAACACATGAATCAATGAAAAGCAACCAACAGATGATTGCATAAATTTATTTAATCCCACATAATTTTTAACAGGTATGAATTTAACACTCAAATTATGGATGAAATATAGAAATAAGAAAAATTTCCTAGAAAGAGGAGCAATGTTATCCATTGTGAGAAAACAAAACATCCACTCTCTTGGGCATGTAACATTTGAGAGCCATTATCAAATCCCAAGAACTCTTATTTTTGCTTAAGATAGAAAAATGCAGAGAATGTTCAACAATAAAATGTGAAATGATAAAATAGAATCCTGAGCAATAGGAAAAGAGTGAATAAAAATTGAGTGAACATTGTGAATATTCTGACAATTAGACGTTCTAAACCAAATGCTTATTTTCAAGGCAAATATAATTGAATGAAATTGCTTCTATAAGAGTTGATACATTACTGGAAAATTACAGAGAGGTCTCAAGAAAATGGCTTTGGTGAATAGATTAGAGATGCTCCTGAATGCTTGGGTAACTGACAAGTCAGATGGTATTCAACCATTTCAGAAGGTACTGAAAAGAGAGATGCTTGCCTCTTGGGTTCCATCCCTAAGTAGAAGTGAAATCGCATGTTGGAACACATCAAGGCTTTCCTGAAGGGCTGGGAAGGTGAGTGTGATCATGGGGACAGTTTGCTTCAGAGGAGTCTCAGGGTCCTTCTACGATCTAGAGCCCTTGGAACCTCACTCACACCTCCTCCATGTGCCAGAGCTGAGGAACCACTGAGTGGAAGTCTGAGTCTGACCATTGTTGCATCAGGGCATGGCTGTGTTGTTGCTCTAAATTCCATAGTCTCTCCCTTCTCCCTGATGCTGCCCCTCTCTTTAGGTGGCTGTGGAAGAACTACCAACATGGGCTGGCCTTCCGCTTTGCCATGTAGGAGATCAATAAGGACCCCCAGCTATTCCCCTGCCTGACCTTCAGTTTCCAACTCTACAATTCTGTTACCAGTGACACGCTGAGGAGTACTGTGTACTGGTTGACTGGAAAGCATCATCTCATCCCTATCTATATCTGCCAGACACAAGGCAAGACGGTTGCCATCATTGCTGGAACCACATCAGCATTTTCAGCTGAAACTTGAATGGTACTGGAGCTGTACAAAACCCCACAGGTAAATGGGTTGTGACTTCTGGTGAGAAATGTTTCCATCTCCCACCAGATCTGTCACACCTGATGCAAGGGTCATGTGGAAGCCAGTTACACATATACTACTCTTAGTTGAAACAAATTCTGGGGAATTCGTTAGGCTGTGAGAAAGGGAAGGAGGAATGGATGCTGAGAGCCTCAGCCCAGATCTCTGTCTAGGGCCAATGTATCCATCCCCACCTGTTGGGAATGTTGATTGTTGACTCTTCATAGGAAATACCCGCAGCACAGAAATGTCCTAAGATGACTCTATGTTAGTTGTGGGGATATAAAGACCTGGGCCTGTATTTTCCATTTAGGACCCCACTGAAGACGATGACAATCCCAAAGATCATTAATGAATATTTGGGGTTTGGTTACAGTTAGATGAGATTTCACTCTCTCCCTATGCCCAGTCCTGACTTCATCACATGTAGCAGATTCATTCACAGGGTCCCCAGTTTACTTTCCATGTGCAACTCAGAGATTTAAATCTTTTTGTGTGTTTGAGGGACTGAGAAACAATTCAGGCAGACAGTGTACACCTATTCACTGGTTTAGTCACCAAATACCCACCATGGTGCTGGTGCAGATTGGCTGTGGTGCAGCCAGGAGCCTAGCATTCAATACAAATCTCCCAAGTAGGTGTCAGGAACCCAATTACATGATCCAATTGAGCTGCCTCCCTGGATCTGCATTCACATTTCTGAGATTCTTAAAGGAGACCCACGTGAAACAGGTAGCATTGTGCACCCATTACCATCAGGCTCAGACTGGAATAGCATAGGAGGATTCAAACCCTCAGGAGATCAGCACAGTAAAGAGTTGTTTGTCTCAGAGGTAACATGTAATCCCAGTTGTAGTGGGGCTGTTAACCTCTTGTGACATGCAGTGAGAAGTGGGAAACACCAATGTCCTGGTGATTCTGCAACCAGAAATCATATCTCCTTCTCTCCATGGATTGCCATGAAGATACATGGGTATCTTACTCACTTTCATGCTATGAATGAAGATCTACATTTCTTCTAAAAGCAATAGGCATTGAAGCATTGTTTTCTCTGATCCCAGGTAATAGAACTTGGCTGTGTCTATGCTGGACATTGTCTTCCCAATATCGTTGTGTTCAGATGTGCCTGTTGGAGAGCAGTGATATTTTTTTTTTTACTCACTTCCCAAGATTGACAACTCGTAATCCATCTTCATCAGATCATGGTGGTTTTCTTTCCTTTCAAATCACATATCATCCTGTTGATCCCATGCTAAATGAGCGAGACAAGTTTCCATCGCTCTCTTAGATGGCCAACAGTGATAACTCTCTGGTCTGTGGAATGCACTCGTTGCTACCACAGTTTGGCTGGATTTGGGTGGTACTCTTTGTATCTAATGATATGAAAGGAGAGCAGTTCCTTCAGAATATTGAAGCTGAGATGGTAAAGAAAGGTGTCTGTCTGGCCTATTCAGAAAATCTCCCTGACACTAAGTCAAGGTATGCAGAAACTGAAATCTCTTGCCTAGAGGTGATAAACATTTCATCAGCAAATGTGCATATTCTATATGGTGATGTAAGGAGTCTCTATACCATCGAATTCCTAAGTGAATTCTATTTAACACTGGAGAAGGTGTGGATCATAGATGCAAAGTGGGATATTGTTGTGCTTGAGACACAACACGTGCTGCATTTTGTCCATGGAGGCCTCTCATCTTCACACCACAAGGGAGAAACTCCTGGCCTCGAATATATTATCAAGACAGTGGACATGGGCCGGCACCATGACTCACTTGGTTAATCCTCTGCCTGCGGTGCCGGCATCTCATATGGGCACTGGGTTCTAGTCCCGGCTGCTCCTCTTCCAGTCCAGCTCTCTGCTGTGGCCCGGGAGGGCAGTGGAGGATGGCCCAAGTGCTTGGGCCCTGCACCCACATGGGAGACCAGGAAGAAGCACCTGGCTCCTGGCTTCAGATTGGCAGAGCATGCCGGCCGTAGCCATAGTGAGAGCTGGATTGGAAGAGGAGCAGCCAGGAGTAAAACTGGCATCCATAGGGGTTGCTGGTGCTTCAGGCCAGGGCTTTAACCTGCTGCACCACAGCACCGCCCCTCAATTTCTTTTGTAACATGTGAAAGTGTGGTATGTTTTTTATTAACTTGATGATTCAGTGAAGCAATATTTTTAACTATATAGCAAATGATCTGAGATCCACACAATTTTTATCCTCTCTGTATATATTTACTAACACATGTAAAAGAAATTATGACATTTTGGATTGGGGAGTACGATTATTTCATTTAGCTTAATGACTTCCAGTTCCAAGTGTGCACATTTCATTCTTTCTCATGGCTGATAATTAATATTTCACCATATATATATATATACACATATACATCTTGTGTTTCCTTCATCCATTCATCAGTTGATGGACATGTTGATTGGTTTCACAGCTTAGCTATTGTGCATTGAGCTGCTACGGATATGAGAGTGCAAGTGACTCTTTCATGTGCTGATTTAATTTCCTTTCTACATCTTTGTTTGCCTACGTGTGGGATAGCTGGACTGTATCTTAGAACTAGTATTGTTTTTCTGAGGAATCCCCATACCATCTTCCATAATGGTTGTAGCATTTTTCATTCATTCCCACCAAGAGTTTATTGTAGTACTTTTCCCGCCACACAGTCTCCAGAACTTGTTATTGCTTGAAGTTTGGATGATAGCCATTCTAGCTGGGGTGTGGTGAAACCACACTCTGGGTTTTATTTCCATTTCCCTAATGTCTTGTGATCCAGAGCATCTTTTCATGTGTTTGTTGGCCATTTGTATTTCATCCTTTGAAAAATGCCTGTTCATATTCCTTACTCCATTTCTTAACTGGATTGTTTGTTTTGTTGTTGTTAAGTTTCTTGAGGTCCTTTTCCCCCCAAAGAAACCTTATGTTTAAGGAATACAAACTCCATGCATTTCACAAGTACAACTTTAGGAATGTAGTGATTCTGCCCAACATTTCCGCCCTCCAATCCTTCCTTCTCCTCCCTCTTCCTTTCCTATTCTGGATATTAATACTTTATTGGATATTGGATGTATATTTTGTAGATATTTTCTCTCATTCTGTAAGCTGTGTTTACCTTGATGGGTGTGTCCTTTGCTGAGTAGAAGTTAGTTAGTTTGATGTAATCTCATGTGCTTATCTTTTCCTTTATTGCCTGTAGTTCTGGGGTCTTATCCAAGAAGTCTTTGCCTAAGTCAATGTCTTGCAGTGTTTCCCCAATGTTTTCCTCTAGTAATTTGATGTTTTCAGGGCTTAGGTTTAGATCTTTGATCACTTATGAATTGATATTTATATAGGCTTTAAGGTAGCAGAATGATTTCAAGAGTCTGCATGTGGAAATCAAAGTTTCCCAATACTACTTGTTGAAGAGACTGTCCTTTCTGAAGAGAGTGAGTTTGGCTCTGTGTAGCATTTTGAATTATAATTTAATAATGAGAGGTCATAGAATAATAATATTTCTCACTGTAGGATGAAATGCTATAAAATATCCTAATATAGCTCATTACAAAGAATAGGAAGGAAAAAAATTGCCCAAACATATTCTTTTTTTTGGGAATGTATGCAAAGCTAAGAAATGTGGATTACTGATATATCTCATAGCAGCTATGTCTGCTATAATGTTGTATATATGTATGCTATAGCTCATGTGCTTTGTGAGACATTGTTGGGGAAAATAAAATTGGGTCCACTTTATATCATAAAATGACTCTGAAAAATGAAGCAATGTCACAAAGAAAGCCTGTCACAACCAGTGAGGACAGTCTGTGAGCCTATTGTTAAATACAAGATCACAGAGCTTGCATGTAAGCACAGGGTACATCTGCTGGTTATAGATGGATTTGCCTGGATTTTAAACCTGGCTTGCTTGGATCTATTACCCATATGTAGAACAGTATCAGGAACTTCGCCATATGTATACATGAAAATCCACTAATCAAATTATTTGAGGAAATCAAATTTAATGTGTCACAGAAGGAAAATGTATATATATATAGTACATTATATATGTTTAAATTTACACAGTTTACTGCACTGTGTAATTTTCATGTTTATTTTTTTTTAACTTTTATATAATGAATATAAATTTCCAAAGTACGACTTATGGATTACAATGGCTTCCCCCCCATACCGTCCCTCCCACCCGCAACACTCCCCTTTCCTACTCCCTCTCCCCTTCCATTCACATCAAGATTCATTTTTGATTATCTTAATATACAGAAGATCAGCTTAGTATACATTAAGTAAAGATTTCAACAGTTTGCTCCCACACAGAAACATAAAGTGAAAAATAATAGATGATTTTTTAAATGATGATGAAATCAGATCAGACCTATTGTCATGTTTAATCCCAGTGAGAGTCAAGTTGGGAATTGATAATTTCTTCTTCTTCTTCTTTTTTTTTATTTTACAGAAGATCAGTTTAGTATACATTAAGTAAAGCTTTGCAACAGTTTGCACCCCCATAGAAACACAAAGTGAAATATAATGTTTGAGTACTTGTTATAGCATTAAGTCTCAATGTACAGCACGCTAAGGACAGAGATCCCACATGAGGAGCAAGTGCACAGTGACTCCTGTCATTGACTTTACAAATTGACACTCTTGTTTATGGCCTCAGTAATCTCCCCATGCTCCAGTCATGAGTTTCCAAGGCTATGGAAGCCTTTGAGTTCTCCGACTCTTATCTTGTTTAGACAAGGTCATAGTCAAAGTGGAGGTTCTCTCCTCCCTTCAGAGAAAGGTACCTCCTTCTTTGAAGACCTGTTCTTTCCACTGGATTCTCACTCACAGAGATCTTTCATTTAGGTCTTTTTTTTTTTGCCAGAGTGTCTTGGCTTTCCATGCCTGAAATACTCTCATGGGCTTTTCAGCCAGATCCGAATGCCTTTAGGGCTGATTCTGAGGCCAGAGTGCTGTTTAGGACATCTGCCATTCTATGAGTCTGCT